GTGTCAGTTCGATCGAACTTCACAACCCATCAAATGAAGTAGATGGAAAGGAGGCCACTTGTGACCATGAGAACAACATAATAACATGAGGACATCATTCGGGTACTTCGGATCGGCGGTAAGCTAGAAGGATGAGTTCGGATGAGCATACGCGCAGTGAGGACTCACCAATTGCTGCTTCTAATGCTGCCGAGTCGCTACTGTACTTCTTCACTGAGAACCGTTTACAGAAACGCTTGCCGTTCTTTCTCCATCTCGCCACCCAGTGACAAGGGCCCTCCCAATATACTCCAACCACACCACTTTGTTTCGCACACGTCCCCATTCTACTGGGTACAGCCTCACCACGGCGTTCAGCATCCTTACGGCACTCTGAGGGTTGAGAAGAGATTCGCATCTAGTAGCATCGCCTCCTTACTCGTGGCCGAGGCCAGTGCTTTCTCATCACCATACTTCGACACAGAGAAGCGTTCGAACATATGGCGGCCATCCTTAGTATCCCACTGTGCGAGCCAGGCCCAACGTTTACTATCCCAGGATACGCCGCGGACTCCACTCTGCCGTTGAGTGGCTTTCCCTGCACTGAATCTATCACTCCTCAAGGAAGAGGGCCGCTCACTCCTCCACAAGGTTCTACGGCATATCCCGGCTGACTCTATGTTTTCAAACGATTTATCCCTTTTTGATAAATTGAACTGACCAGTAAATGCTGTAGTGTCAAATCTCACCTCTTCCCGAGCGGTTGACGACCAACACAGCTCCCTTGAGCACCTTAGCTGCCACTTCGTGACAAGTACTATCTACCGCCCCAGGTGCGAGGTTGGCCACTGCCTCCTGAATCACAAGAGGCCGCCTCCAGCAGCTTCCCTCAGCCCAGATGCTTACGGGAAGCTTCGACTGCACAGCCTCTCTCAGTTCAGTTCGCCACTGTGATTCGAACATGGAGTAATCTGAGAACGTGTGGTGGCAGTATGGGTTGGGACTCTCACCAAGCCTCGCTGGTTGTATGCTCTGTGTGACTCTGACGACCAACTCCTCAGCAATTCGTTGGACGAGGAAATCCACATCTTGGTAGTTGGCACTGCTGATACCCAAATTATCAGCGTAGCCCCGCAGAGCTTCGACGCCAAGTGTAGACTTTAGTAGAGGGATAAGCCTTCCTTCTAGTGAACGACCACTGAGTCAGAGAAGGCCTAAGTCTTTGAAATTATCGGGGGCTTACAGTTTTAGCAACTCAGAATCTGATGTCTCCTCAGGACCCTGAAAGTCAGTGAGTGACGGGCCTCCGTGGGAGTTCCCTCATCCGTCATGGCCACCAATCGGGTCCCACCTCGAGGTTAAAAGATCGACTCCTCCACCTCGGTATGACCGGAGTCGCGGATCCAACTCGAGAGAGGTCTCGCTCCCTGATTGTGAATAATTATATGGTAGGTATAGGTTCAGGAAGGGTACCAATAACCATCCAGACATCGCATGATATTAACACATTGACGGTTGCATCTTCCGTTACCTTCGACTACCACTGATTCATCTGCTCGAGGGTCTTTCTCGTGATGATAGCGATGCTCA